TCATGAGTTGCAGGTGACTCCATTCCACATAACAACAACAAACACCAGAAGGATGAAGCGAGAACAAATTATGCAGAGTGACAGTGACAAAAGTCAGTCACAAAAGAATAATTGCAATGTAAGATCACTGGTATGAAATACTAAGGTAATATACACATACAGATTCAATCTCGGGGATAGTAGAGAGGAAGGGGAAGAAATTAGTTATTATCTTAATTTTAAAAAATGCTATCTCTGCAAGTCGCTACAATGTTATCTCTAAGGGGACTGACATCAGGGTTGGGGTGAGACTGAGAAAAATTGGATAAATTATGTATAGTGCATTGAAACAGATGAGGGAGAGAATAGTTTAAAAGCGATGGTTGCATAGTGGAGTGTACTGGGGGGAAGGAGATTGTGTACCAATGAAAGAATTTTTCTTTTACTTTCCAAAGAGAGGAGTGAACTGGGGGGTAGGAGTGGGCAGGGAGAAAAATGCAACAATGAATGAATGAATGGAAATCCAAACTCTCTGTAAATGCTCATTAAAATTAATAAAATAAAATGTAAAAAAAGTTGGAAGGAATATACAGAGTAACTCCCTATAAAAGAATTAGCTGACATTTAACCATTTCAGGAAGTAGCATATGATCGACAGTATTGAGAAGAAGTTCAGGTTGCACTGAATGCACCTCCAGGAATGATGGAATACTAAGTGATATGTTTGAACCAAATGGACATACTAAATCATCTAATCCAAGGAGTTGGGAAAACACCATACAGTGGATGAGATCCATAACTGTGCCCATTTTAAAGGAAGGTAATTCAACAAAATCCCAAAATTATTGTAGAATATCATTAATGTGTCATGTATGCAAAATCTCACTGAAGATATTTAACAAAATGGCTGTAGTATTACATTGACAGGAAAGGGTCTGAAATTCAAGCTTGATTTAGAGAGGACAAGAAATTATGGTTATTGATGATGTCAGACGGAACTTGGTTAAAAGTGGTTATTACCAAAACCATGTCAGCCTGTGTTTTATGTTGTTGTTGTCATGTGCCATCAAGTCGCTTGCAACTCATAGTGACCATATGTACAAGAGCCCTAAATGAGGTTCTATCCTGTGCCAACCTCGCCATCTCAAACACACTCATTCCCACCACTGCACTCACAGAATCGATTCATCTCATCGAGGGTCTTCCTCTCCTGTGCCGTCCCTCCACTCTCCCAAACATGATGTCACTCCCCAAGGACCAGTCCCTCCTTGCAGCATGCCCAAAGTATGTCAGACGAAGCTTCAGAATCCTTGACTCTAAGGAGCATTCTGGCTTCACCCTCTCCTGGACAAACTTGTTTGTTCTCCTAGCAGTCCATGGTATATTCAACACTCTTCTCCAGCACCACAGCTCAAAGGCATCAGTTCTCTTTCTATCATCCCTAGTCACTGTCCAACTTATAGCCTGGATCAGGCGCACCTTAGTTTCCAGCCTGACGTCATTGCTCTTCGGTACTCTTGAGAGATCCCTCACAGCTGACTTTCCCAATGCAATGTGTTTTATAGAGTATGCAAACCAATTCAATTTTGTGGATCATAAGAAAGGCATCTTATTTTGTATAACATAACACATTATGGAAAACATTGAGAAGAATGGGAATTCTAGAGCACTTACTTGTGCTCACATGTAACCTGTAAGGGGGTGTAAGGGTGTTCCATGCTTTACAATCAGGGGGAAAAATTATTCAGGATTGTATCCTTTCACCACACTGAAACACTGTTAGCACAATGGGTTAAGTGTTGGACTACTAGCCAGAAAGTCAGTGGTTTGAACCCACTAGACACTTCTTAGGAGAAAAATAAGGTAGTTTGCTCTGTGAAGATTTGCAATCTCAGAAACTATGGAGCAGTGTGTGTCTCTTATAAAGTAGAATCACTCTGAGTTGGCATTTACTCAACGGCAACAGTTTTGGCAGATATTGGTGAAAATTCACTAAATAATTTAGTCAGAAATTTATAGGGCTTTGCAGTCTATTGAGGAATTTGAGGCATTCCTGTTATGAAAAGCATTTTTTCCCTGAGTATAGAAAGGCAGATTAAAGAGGAGGAATGGTTACCTGGGATTATCACTCAGTTACCCCTAAATATTAAGGGGTATGTGTAAACACTTTCATTATATATTCCTATATTTTATTTCCAGCATGGATTGCAAACTACCTCTTAACATTGGAGTTTGGTAGAGTATAGAAAGTATGAAATAAATGCACTCAATTTCCTAAGAAATAGACTCTTTCACCATACTTATCCCTGGTTATCCTAGTGTTAAGAAGCTGCATTGCAATTCCAAAGGCACGCAGTTCGAATCCACCTCCTGCTCCGAGGGCAAAGGATGGGCAATCTCCTCCTGCACGATTAACTGCCGCTGAAAACTTCCCGAAGTGTCAGTTATGGGTAGGTTCCGACCGATGGTACACAGCAATTGTAATTATGCACCAGTGAATTGGAACTGGGTTTTCAGAGGCAGTAAATCTTAAGGAAGACAAAGATTCTCACCACTGGACCAATTGGCAGCATCAGGATGGATGGTGAAGAGATTGAGATTGTTCACAGCTTTAGTTTGCTTGGCTCCACAGTCAACACTCCCGGCACCAGTTGTTTGTTGTTGTTATGTGCCATCGAGTCGTTTGCGACTCATAGCGACCCTATGTACAACAGCCCTAAACCCTGCTCTATCCTGTGCCAATCTCATTGCCTCCCACACACCCATCCCGATTACCCCAGTCACTGAATCAATCCACCTCATAGAAGGTCTTCCCCTCCTGCGCTGTCCCTCCACTCTGCCTAGCATGATGTCCCTCTCCAAAGACCTGTCTCTCCTTACAACATGTCCAAAGTACGTCAGGCGAAGCCCCAGAATCCTTGCCTCCAAGGAGCAGCCTGGTTTAACCCTCTCTAGGCTGAATCTATTTGTTTTCTTGGCAGTCCATGGTACATTCAGTACTCTTCTCCAGCACCACAGCTCAAAGGCGTCAATTCTCCTTCTATCCTCCCTAGTCATTGTCCAACTCCCTGATGCATAACAAGTGATTGCAAAAACCAGGGCCTGTATCAGGCGCACCTTAGTCTCCAGAGAGACACTGTTGCTCTTGAGTACTTTAGAGAGGTCCCTAACCGCAGACTTTCCCATCGCAATACGTTTTATTTCCTGGCTAATGGTGCCAAGAGTGTTGACCGTGGAGCCGAGCAAACTGAAGCTGTGAACAATCTCAATCTCTTCACCATCCATCCTGATGCTACCGATTGGTCCAGTGGTGAGAATTTTTGTCTTCTGGACTTTGAGCCTCAGTCCATATTGAAGGCTGCAGTCCTTGACCCTCTTCAGTAAGTGCATGAGGTCCTCCTCAGTTTCAGCGAGCAGGGTTGTGTCATCTGCATACCGCAGATTGTTGATAGATCCTCCACCAATCCTAATGCCACGCTTCTCCTCATAGAGCCCAGCCTCTCGGATAATCTGCTCTGCATACAGGTTGAAAAGGTATGGAGACAGGACACATCCCTGGCATACACCCTTCCCAATTTTGAACCATGCAGTGTTGCCCTGCTCTGTTCTGACTACTGCCTCTTGGTCCAAGTATAGGTTTCTCATTAGCACGTTTAAATGTTCTGGGATTCCCGGCACCAGTAGCCAGGAAATTAAAAGACGTATTGCCAAGGGAAAGTCTGCTGTTAGGGACCTCTCCAAAGTACTGAAGAGCAATGGTGTCTCTCTGGAGATTAAGGTATCTCTGATACAGGCCATGGTCTTTGCAATCACTTGTTATGCATTAGACAGTTGGACATGACTAGGGAGGATAGAAGGAGAATTGATGTCTTTGAGCTGTGGTGCTGGAGGACAGTGCTTAATATACCATGGACTGCTAGGAAAACAAACAGATTTGTCCTGGAGAGGGTTAAACCAGGTGGCTCCTTGGAGGCAAGGATTCTGAGGCTCTGTCTGACATGTTTTAAGGAGGGAGATGTCCTTCGAGAGGGACATCATGCTTGGGAGGGTGGAGGGACACCGCAGGAGAGGAAGGCCCTCTATGAGTTGGATTGATTCAGTGACTGGGATAATTGGGATGGGAGTGTCAGAGATAGTGAGATTGGCACAGGACAGAGCAGAGTTTAGGGCTATTGTACACAGGGTCACTATAAGTCGCAAAGGACTCGACGGCACATAACAACAACAAATCTTAAAGGAGGCGAGTGCCCATCTCTTTCCTGAGGAGCACCTGGGGGATTTAAGCTATGTGCCTTTTGGTTGGAGATGAAACTTCTTACCAAAAAGCCACGAGAGCTTTCGGAGGTGGGTTTTGTGTGGCACTAAGAGGATGAAGATAGGCCTACACTCTTCTTAGAAGAAATAATGAAAAGCCATCTCTGTTTAACCCATTCTAATTGCTAGCTTCTCCCTGGCACCATAGGTGGTGTGGAGTACTCAGTTGCCTGTGGAATAAATTTACACCAATACTGGCACAAAGGGGAGGATCTGAGTTCTCGGTGTTTTATACTTTTAGGATTCCATTTTCTGGAGACCACTCTACTGTTTTCGCGGAAAATCCTTACTTAAATAGGTTTTGGTCCATTTCTAACTGTGGAACTGCGCTCATTGTTGATTACTACTTAGTATGAGAAAAGTACTCCGGTTGAAGCGCAGCAATTGGCGGAACCTGCTTTTGTTTATATGTATATGAAAACCGAACTTCCGGGGCGGTAATGTAAACCTCCCGGAAACCCGACAATCCCTGCCTTACATTAGAAGAAAAGCCACCGCAGGGTCTACTAAACTGGGAGCCCTGCAGAGGGAGGAAGCCGCATGTGCGTGCGTGCGTGCGTGCGTGGTCTGGTCGCGCCACGCTTAGAGGCGGGGCGTGGTTGTCTGTAGATTGGTTGGTTATTTTGCAAAAGGGAGGAGCAATATACGTTTCAGAATCCAGCCTCTTCCCCCGCCCCTCACCGCCCCTGCTCCCTCACCCGTTTCTTCTGTTCCACTCTGTTTCGGAAAGATGTCGGATACGGCAGTAGCTGACACTCGGCGCCTTAACTCGAAGCCGCAGGACCTGACCGACGCTTATGGGCCACCAAGTAACTTCCTGGAGATCGACATCTTTAATCCACAGACTGTGGGCGTGGGCCGCGCGCGCTTCACCACCTATGAGGTTCGGATGAGGGTGAGTCACGAGGTGAGGGAGATAGCTGAGGGAGGATGGGGCTGGGGCAGAAAAGAAGGTTGTTTTTGTTGTTAGGTGCCGTGGAGTCAAGTACGACTCATAGCGCCCCTATGAACAAAGGATCTGAACCCTTTTCTATCCTGTGCCATCCTCACACTTCCTGACACACAAGAGTCCATTGTAGCAGTCAACGTGGTTGTAAGTCCATCTGACTGAAGGTCTTCCTCTCCATCGGAGACCCTCCATCCTTCCCAGCCTCATATCCCTCTCCAAGGAATAGCCTCTCCTAGAAAAGAAGGTAGGAGGGGTCATTAAGAAGTTAGGAACGGAATAGATTTGAAGGGATCAATTATTGATCATATAGTACTTCCTGAAATGACAGCCTGTTCTGTTTGACACAATGTCTGTGTTTTCCTTCCATTTTTTTAAAAAATGCGGCTTAGATCATTCAAGATTTTGCTCATAGTGTTGCAACTCTAGCTATGAATTTTTCCGTTCTTTCCATTTCAAAAAGCATTTTCTTTTCTAGCGTGTTAATTTTCTACCTCCAGCTCTTTACACATTTTGTTATAATACTTTGTCTTCTTGAGCTGCCCTTTGAAATCTTCTGCTCATCTCTTACTTCAGTATTCCTTCCCTTTGTTTTGGCTCCTTTTCATTCTGATGTAACTTTCACAGTTTTTTTACACCATATTGTTCTTCCCCCCCCCCTTGTCTTTGTAATGACCGTTTGCTTTCTTAATGGATGATACCTTTGATAATACAAGCCATAGTATTTTCCACTGGTTCCTACGCATCTGAAAGTTGGAAAAAGAATAAGGAAGTCTTGAATTACAATTGATACCTTTGAAGTGTTCTGTTAGTGAAGAAGAGTATTGAATATCCCATGAACTGCCAAAAGATCATACAAATCTGTCTTGAAGGAGGTGCAATCCGAGTTCTTCCTTTAGGCATATTTTCAGGAGAGATACATCATGCTGGGAAAGGTAGAGGGTCAGTGAAAAAGGAAGACCCTTCACAAGGATGGATTGACACAGTGACTACCACAATGGGCTTGAGCATAACAGAGATGGTGAGGATAAGGCAAAGTTCAGAACTGTTATTCATAGGGGCACTAAGAGTCATAGTTAACTCGAAGACACCTAACAACAATAGCAACAACTAAGTAATGGCCTTTAGATTCAGCATATTCCTGAGGGAGACTCTGAATGTGACTGGGGAAGAAATAAAGCTTAGTTGAATGGATAGAGTGAGGAGAATGCAGAGTGAGGAATTCAAGGAGCTTGAAATCATGACTGTAGTGACAGAATCAAAATAGAATCCACTGTTCTAGTTGATTCAAAGTCCTAAAGACCCTATGGTATTGTCTAATAGGTTTTTCTGGCCTTTAAGTAATTTGGTAGCCTGATGGATAGGGAGTTAACTACATTGCCAACCTAAAGACAGACATTTCAAATCCACCAGCTTCTCCATATGGGAGAAAGATGGGCTGTCTCATTTGCAATATCTGTAACCTCGCTAGAGGTTGAGCTATGAGTCAATTCTGACTTGACAACAATGGGTGAGTGAGTCTTTACAGAATCATACTAACATCTGTGGGGTGGCTAGTGGGTTTGAAATGCCAGCTTTTATTTTAGCAACCAAGTGTTTTAAGTACTATACCTCTAGGACTTTTGACAGAATGGATATGGAAAGCCAAGGTTATACTTAGTTGGGTCCCATAACTAAACTAGGTTGTTGTTGTGTACCATAAAGTCAGAACTGACCCATAGCTGACCCTCCAGCAGGTTTTCAGAGGCAGTTAATCGCTCAGGAAGAATGAGATTGCCCGTCCTCCCATGGAGCAGCTGGTGGCCTCCAACTGTGTGCCTTCTGGATTGCAGCGCAGTTATTTGCCACTGCGCCACCAGAGGTCTACTTGTATGGGGTATGGGATGTCAAGTTGAAGAAACAGGGAGGAATACTTCTTCCTAATGAGATTTCCTTGGATTGGTGGTTTAAGAGAAAAATAGGGAGAATAAAGGACAGTAGGCTTGTGGGAATAGAAATAAAAAAGAGAGTCTCTTTGAGACTGAGTATTTTGTGCTTGAATTTCCCAAGGTACTAAAATTCTGTTTTGAGCTAGGATTGGTAGATTGTCTGTTACTACTCTGATCTTAATTCTCACTTACTTGTTGTGGAGTAGGGTTGGACTCGTAGCTAACTCTCCGGCGAGTTTTCTGAGACTGTAAACAGTACAGGAGGAAAGTGCCCATCTTTCTCCTGCTGAGGAACTGGCGGATTCAAACTATCTTCCTTGAGGTTGACAGTGCAACGCCTTACCCACTAGGCCACCAGTGCTCCCTGATCTTTATATTTGAAGTAGCCAGAAAGTTCACATTCAAAAATTTATTAACTATTGAAGTCTCTCTTTTGGATTCAGGTTCTGGATTGTAATTACTTTAATATGTGGCGTTTCTGGACTGCCCCAGGAATGGTTTCGTGCATTGTGTACTACTGAAGACTTTATTCTCTACTGCTTGGTTTATAATGTAGAGGGTAGAGTATCTGGATAGAATACATAGTTTACCAGACATTTTGAGAACCATTTTTTAGTTTTCTTTTCAAACTGAAGAATATTCTTTATGACTGTCTGCTCAAACAGCATTGAAGACCTAAGAGTGTGTATGCTTTTATTTTTTTAATCACTGTGTTAAATGAGAGAGCGTAATTTCCTGCTTGCACTTTAAAATCTGAGAAATGATGATCTTCAAATTTTAAGTTTGGCAAAGACTAAACTCAAGATAGAAAAGTGAATAGCAAAAAATGAGTAAAATGATTTGAAATCATCTCTGTTGGGGAAGAATGGAAGTTAATTTCTCAAAATATGTTAAAAGCAGGTAACTGTTCATAGTAGAGAACTTAATTACCTGAGTGAATGTGGGCATACTCATTTAATGTAAAGATCCTTTGTAGTGGGAATTGGTGACGTTGTCAAGAATTTTTGGGACTATGAATGGAATAGTTCTCTTCATCAAGTATTCTGGTACTAATAAGGTTTGTTCATCTAGTGTAGATTATGTACAAGACACTGCACTAGGTTTTTATTTCTATTATAATCTTACAAAATCCTCATTTTACAAACAGGAAACCGAGGAGGAGTGCAGTTTGACTTGTCCAGGGCTGGGATTTAAATACAAGTTTAGCCAGAGACTCTCCACTTTAGTCTCTTTGGCAAAGCTTAGTTGCAAAATTTTAGTGTGTAAAATTTTTCTACTCACTAAACTTTTAATTAGATTCTTCTACTTTGTCCAGTTGTATAATGGTATAGTTGATGTTCTAAATTCTGTGGGTTTCATTAATTGCTTGGTTTATACTGATATGTGGAAACCTATAATATTTTCCCCATTGGTTAACAAATGATCCTTTATTGAAATATTTTCATCTGTACTTCTAAATTAGTTGGGCATTCCACAACACTACTGTAGATGTCTTTTATGATGTCATAAGCATTGCAGACTGGGCAGTTCCCAGGATCTCTTTAATAGTTTCAGAGAGTTCTGTCTAAAGATTGATGTTTCATCTGCCAGGCAATGCCAACAATCTCATTGAAAGTGATATTCTTGCTGTGTTTAATATTTTTCTGCTTCTTTCTGTCTCTGAGTGGTTCCTTTAGGGCTTTAATGATCAGGGCAGAGGCAGAAGGCACCACTTCAATCTGAGCCTTCTGTTTTGAATGATCAGTTTCATAGTAATCTTTAGTCCCTTCCAGTCACCGGTGGTCTTGGCAATGTCATCACTGACCTTTTATGGAGACAGACCAAGAGGCCTGATCTTATGGGCCAGAGTGGACGTGGTACCAACTTCCCCACTGGTACACCTCAGGTACTTGACTTTGATCTCACTGGGGTCAAACTTGGGTGGCATGGCAGAGGTGGCTGTTGTCGGATGAACCCAGATGCGGGATGACCAAAGAAAGTTAACACGAGGCCTCCTCCAAACTGAAAGCCAAAAGGAACCTGTAATATTTTTATTGAACTCTGTTTTGGGGGGAAGTTGGTAAAATAATTTGGTTTCAAATTGTTATATTAAGTGGTTGACCATAGGGAAATGATACTTGGAAACAGTGGACTTTGGAAGTTGGCATTGCATATTAGAAGTAGATGGCACTGACATTTCCTGTCATTATATAATAGTTAAAATATTTCAGAAATGGTTTTGTTTTCAAGACAGGATCTGCCCCATCACAATAATAGAGGAATCATAGTTTGAAGGATGTCATAGAGACTTCACATGATGTGTATGAAGCTTTTCAAATGTCAGCTGTCCTGTGGACTTCAGTTTTGCTTCTTTTTCTCCTTTCTCTTCACTATACATTGGCCAGAGACAATGGATTCTCAAGGATATCCTGTATGATACAGTCCTGCCTTCCTGATATTGTTTGTAGGTTGAAACTGTGAGACTATGTTAGTGTGTAGTAGTTCTTAGCTAAGTGGTCTGATGAAAGTCCTTTATTGTCACCATTATGTGGTAAAGAAAAAATAACATTGCCTTCAAAATAGCAATAAATAATTTTGCCACTATTTTGAAAGAATCTACTAAGCATTTTTTTTTAGTCCTTTTGTTTGCTACTATGAAAGCTTACTTTTTTTTTTTTTTAGATCGCAGTATTGATACCTAGGATCACATGATGCAAAAAGGTGTTGATGGTATAACTTTCAAAAGGTACAAAAAAGTATGCTTTAAAAGCAAAATCTTCTGTTCTTAAGAGGTTTCTTTTTCTAAAGAAGCTACCATTTCCAGTTTTTAAAAAAATTTTTTTTAAAGAATGGTTTGTTGTTGTTGTTATGTGCCATCAATTTGCCTATGACTCATAGCAACCCTATGTACAACAGCTCTGAAGCCTGCCCTGTCCTGAGCCAGTCTCACTGACTCTTGACACATAATTCCCGATTGCCCTAATTCCTGTAATGATCCATCTCATCTGGAGTCTTCCTCTCCTGCTCTGTCCCTCCAACCTT